AGGGGAGCAGGGCCACACCCCAAGGCTCACCCAAACATGCTGGAGTTTCTGAAAGGTCAGGGAAAGAAGAGTATTGTACCCAAATCATACAAGCCCTTGGAATGCCCCCCGCCTTGCTCTTTAGACTTCCAGCCCCCAAAGGAAGAGATTCTGCCTTTTAGTTTCCTGAACAGCACACGGACAACACTGGGGACATTCAAAACCTTTTATTGTAAAGACCATGGTTCGGCTGGCTCCAAGCAGTCTGTACGTCCATAGTCCCAACTGTGACTACGCAGAGCATACTGTGTCTGTGGGCAATGTGTGGAAGGCTGTAAATACTGGCGGTAATTAAGGGAAGAGCATCAGACCTAAACTAGATTTCATGGTACTCCTGTACAGTAGGAACTGGAACATCTGGAAATGTGGCACAGTCTCCCTCTCCCTGAAGAAACAACATCAAGAAGTAAATTAACTGTCACTCATCTTCCACAGCCTTGCATTTTTTTAATAACAAATTACATGCACCTTTCTGTTTTTTTATTGCCCAAAAGGTGAAAAAGGACGTGGGAGATGTCTCCATCCTGGTGAATAATGCTGGTGTGATTACAGCTGCCGACCTTCTCTCCACTCAGGACCACCAGATTGAAAAAATGTTTGAAGTCAACACTCTTGCTCACTTCTGGGTAAGGGCCACTGCTGTCTTCATGCCTACTTTTTTTGTGAGCGTTGTTGAGGAGACATATTTAGACTAACAATTCTTTTCAGCTCCCAGTGAATTGCAAAAGCATCTTTCTGGTGTGTGTAGCACAGGGGCACCCAGCTAGATGGACTGTTGGGAAACCTGATCTACCTCCTACTGATCTGAGCCTGGCCCAGTTTTAATTCTTTCTTTAGTCTGCGTAAACTCTGTGCAGCCCATGGCGTTAGCGGTAACGTTAGTCGTTTAATTAACGACAGTCAGTGTCATCATTGAACATTCCAAAGAAAACATTGTTCTTTTCCCCTTTCCCCCACCCCATGTCTGCCTCTTGGTTCAAATGACTTTCAAGACCACAAGAGCTTTTCTGCCAGCCATGATGAGCAACAACCACGGTCACATTGTCACGGTGGCTTCGGGAGCAGGGTCTTTCATGGTGGCTTATTGGTAAGTGATTTTAAAATCACCTCTCTTCATTTTTATTTCTAATTGCACCTTCCCCATCAGCCAGCACGGAGTAACCAAAATAATTCTCCCACCATATACGGTGCATCCAAAGGATGGTGCTGGGGGGCAGAAAGCACAGCAGCCAGCGCTTGGGGATGCCTGCAGGCTCCCACCCATTTGTTCTTTAGTGCTGATTGGATCAGAAGCAATGCTTGTGGGAAGGAATAGTGATGTGAAATAGTGAAATTAAATCATCAGCTAATGAAGGTGCTATTTTTTTTTCTCTCCCTCGCTGATCCAGACTTTTGCTTTGCAGAAAAGGTATCTCTTCCTTTCTCCTCCTTAGAAAGAAGTGTTTCTCCGAGTTGTTGTAGTGGTGACAAGTAAACCCCGAAGTAGTAGCTTTCTACCACTGTGGCAGTGACTGTAGTGTATAGAAATGCTTTTGCTTTTTGGTTGTAAAATTACTTTTCCAAAAATAAAACCATGATTATACTTACTGTGCTGTGAGTAACCTAACTGATACAACCGAGAGGTCGATGCATTGCCTATTTCTACTAAAAGAACTTGAAACATACCTAGAAAATCACAGTGCGTGAAGAGAAAAACTGCCAGATTGCATGTTCTCCTTCTGCATGAGATCAAGCCCTCTATGACAGCAGCTCCAGGCAGAGCAATCTTTCCCTGGGAACACTCCTTTTTAGAGAGAGTCGTCCACTGCTGGCAATGTGAGAACTCCCGAGCTGGTGATTTTACTTAGATTACATTGTCCAAATCAATAGTAGTCAATGAACTGATTCGCTGGTTCTACTTTCTTTTGGAGTTGATTTATACTCCTGGCTTCCACCAATTTCCATGGCATTAAGTAGCTCAATTTTGCACAGATAATGCTCCTGTCACGAGATGTTCCCATGTGGTATGAGAAACAGGAGGGAGTTGTTTGCCATTTCTACTCTGCCCATCCTTCTTACTTTTTACAGATTCAGGCTGAATTCCTTCTAAGAATCTTCTAAAAAAAAAAGAGAACTCCATCAATTGATGCATGGTTATGATGATAAATAAACACTTTGATAATAAACACCGTTATCAAAACCAATAAGCACTACACTTCTGCACAGGGAAAATTTGAATTTTTCCCTGCCTCCTCTCTCAGCTGGATTACCTTTTTTTCCCTCCCGGGCAGTACTGGGTGATCTTTTAGGCCATTTCCACTTGTACAGAGTTAAAAATACTATTCCTGCCTTCTCACCTGTCCTTTTCTCCCTTTCTGCAGTTCAAGCAAGTTTGCTGCAGTTGGATTTCATAAAGCTCTGACAGAGGAGCTGTCTACCCTGGGAAAGGACGGAATAAAAACCACGTGTCTAAGCCCAGTGTTTATAAACACGGGATTTATCAAAAACCCCAGCACAAGGTAACAATCAAAACTCTGCCTTCCTCTCCTTCCCTCTTTGCACCTAGGCATCACATATGAGCCCCAGCTTTAGGGCTTGTATTCCCCCCGACTATATAAAACCAGTAAATACCATTGGCTAAAGAAAACCTGCCGTGTCATTTAGCCCACGTAATAGCTGCACGGGAATTACCTGAGTCTGTGCATACGTGCAGCATCCGACGTCAGGTAACACCGACCCCTTTTTACCAGCGTAGCTCTTCCAGGTATGCTTTCCTTTGCAGGCTTGGAAAGATTTTGGAGGTTGAAGAAGTTGTAGAGGCCCTGATGGAAGGAATACTGACCAACCAGAAAATGGTTTTTGTTCCACCACATCTAAGCATTGCTTTACTTTCTGAAATGTAAGTAGAAGGGAAAAAAAAAAAAAAAAAAAAGAGGAAGGGGGAGAGGGGGAACATATCAACACTACCTACCTGAGTATACATGCATCAAACTTGTAACATCTGCTTCTAGATTAAGGCTTATGAGGAACTCCCTTTTGCACTCCTGGTATTACAAGATACGGTTTGGCAGCACGGTGAAATCCTAGAATGACAGCTGGACAGCAGGAGTTCAAATTCAGCCCAGTTTCATTTATTTTGTATTATTATCTTCAGTGTTTGACATCACTGTAATCAGTTAATTATCATTCAAGATTTAACATCAATATGCCTGTAGATAATGTGTCTAGATAATCCCTCTGAAGGAGATAGGATTAGTTTTTAAACAACCCATGTGAAGTATTTTAGTATGAGAACAACACATAGAGAATCCAAAGTCCAAGTGAAGGTTTCCAATTAGTCTTTTACTAGTTCTTAGGTTGCAGCTGAAGCTGGGTGCCCCTGGAGAGGGACCCCTACTCCAATTCACACCTCTCCATTATACCCGTACGCCCCATCACCTCATCCCCAAGTCCAATCACTTCATTCTGGTCAGTGGTCTCTTGATTTCTCACTGGTTTTCACTGGCACTGGGCTGCCCTTCTTCTGAAGTTACTTCATGATCTTGGAACTGTCTCCTTGGTCCTTATCTTCATTCTGCTCGTTATCTTCTGCATTCAGCAACTTCTATATTAGCAGCATTAGTTTTATCATGAAGTTTACACTTGGTCAGCTCTTATTGAGGAGGGCTATAGATTCTTTGGAAATTACATCCAGTTTAAGTCTTGCTCTCAAGCCTGTGTGTGCATCCTTCTGCTCCCAGACCAGCTGTTCCCTCACCTGTGGTGCCACTTTTCCGCATAATTTAAGTTTCTTCTCCTACATTTAATTTCACATTATTATCTCTTCCAGGTTGTTTCCAGAACGTGCCGTGGCTCTTCTGAAAAAGCTGACCAATGCCAAGTTTGATGCAGTTGTTGGGCAGAGAAGCACCCAGTGAAAACTGATTCTCATTTCTCAGGGACACGAGTGAAAACAGAACATGTGCTGAGCGACACTCAGCTGGTTTGATGCAGAACTAAGACAGCTGCTGCCAGGCCACCCTTTCCAAGTACACCTAAGGGTTAATCCCCCACCTGCACCTGCAGCAGGGACACACCTAGATAACAAGGAGCATTAACAAAGCAGAGATGCAGCTGGAGAAGTCTCAAGGGCTGCTTTGGCTGCACCTCACATCATCGCCTCTATCTCCTCATGCTGAGGCAGACAGGAACTCCCGCAAAGCCCGTCCTTGGGACGGCACGGCTGCCTTCTTGGGTGTAAAGGGATTGCCTGAGAATATATTGATCTGGACTCATCCCTGAGCAAAAGTATCTTGCAAGAAGGAATTCATAGAGGAGGTGGGTGGCCTGTTTCACCTTAATTTATCTTTTCATTAGAGCACATTTTAAAAATTAAACCCCCAGTTTCATGTAGGGACTACCTGAAATAATACAGCCTTGTTTGTAATGTAATACCTAATTACATCAATTACCAGTTATGCTTAAGCACCACCAACACTCCTCATTCCAAATAAATACAGTTCTTTAACACAGATGTCTCTCAGCAGTGAAAGTTGTAACCACGTCCCTGCAAGGACAGTGGAGCAGGTGCCACAACAGCAACCAGCTCAGCCAGTCTGCTGGCCACCAGGCCAGGCTGCAGGGACAGGACAGGTCCCAGGTCACGCCAGGAAGTCACCGCAGGATCACTGAGGGCCAGGGCCGGGCCAGGGCCAGGCAAGGGCCGGGCCAAGGCCAGGGTTCAAT